AGTTTAACTTACCTGCCAAAAATTGTATACTTAAAACCTAGATGAGGATGCTTGTTGTAGGGGATGAAAAACTTGATTTATTAGTTTAACTTACCTGCCAAAAATTGTATACTTAAAACCTAGATGAGGATGCTTGTTGTAGGGGATGAAAAACTTGATTTATTAGTTTAACTTACCTGCCAAAAATTGTATACTTAAAACCTAGATGAGGATGCTTGTTGTAGGGGATGAAAAACTTGATTTATTAGTTTAACTTACCTGCCAAAAATTGTATACTTAAAACCTAGATGAGGATGCTTGTTGTAGGGGATGAAAAACTTGATTTATTAGTTTAACTTACCTGCCAAAAATTGTATACTTAAAACCTAGATGAGGATGCTTGTTGTAGGGGATGAAAAACTTGATTTATTAGTTTAACTTACCTGCCAAAAATTGTATACTTAAAACCTAGATGAGGATACTTGTTGTATGGGATGAAAAACTTGATTTATTAGTTTAACTTACCTGCCAAAAATTGTATACTTAAAACCTAGATGAGGATACTTGTTGTATGGGATGAAAAACTTGATTTATTAGTTTAACTTACCTGCCAAAAATTGTATACTTAAAACCTAGATGAGGATGCTTGTTGTAGGGGATGAAAAACTTGATTTATTAGTTTAACTTACCTGCCAAAAAGTGTATACTTCAAATCTAGATGAGGCTGCTTGCCATAGGTAATGAAAAACTGTGACCCATTTGTGTTTGGACCATTATTTGCCATTGAAATAATTCCTCTGGAATTATGCTGTGGAATAACATCCACATTAGATTTAAATAAAAAATACTATTATAAACACTATTGAACAATCATATAATGAGAAGAAATACAGCAACACTATGATTTGTACAATATATGGAACTTCCACCTTTAGACTGAAATTTTGTGAGTATTTTAGAAAGTTACCGTCAGATTCAGCAACTATCATTATGATATGTACACTTTTTGCAGGTCATCTTTAATCAAATATCCACAATTTGAAGTTTTTTTTTGTTGGTAGTTGGTTTCTAGATATTCACACAAAGCTACAAAAGAGCCAACTCTGTAATTTTG